TCCTGACGGCGTCCGGCGGACGCCTTTGAACTGGACGATAACGGTCGCAGTTGGCCAGAAGAGTAAAGACCTTATCATGCGCACTCTTTCCACCTCGGATAGGGGAAAACTGAAGTCCTCAACGTCTTTCTCAAACATACTTTGCGAGGGTGCCAAGAATGCAGTTAGAGGGAATGAGTGCGGTATACCAAATACAATTTCGTGGGGATAAACACCTACGTCACGGACTCTGATTCAGGATGCACTGTAGTGTCGATACGTAGCTGGCCCAAAGCCAATACGTCATACCAATCTAGACTTTTGTGTTGAGATAGGAGAGGGCCTCTCCGAGAGGCCAGAGGGCTGCACCCCGAGTACGATTTTGGCGTTCATAGAAACCCCCACGACTAGGATGTCGCAAAGGCAAGCTAGTATGCCTTATTTTATAAGTACAGCAAAGGCTGTCCAGTATAATATATCTAACAAACTGAACTCCTTGGTCAGATATTATGTATTCCGGCTTACGGAATACGAGGATAATGTTACGCTTATCTACTCTTGATCGCTGTCCTTTATCTCGTGACCCAACAGGCTTAACTCCTTCTACACCTCTGCCTAACGACACGACTGCACCACTTGGAACCCAATCTACTTCGACTTTTGAAATATGGAACTTCATACCTATGATTATGAAGTTCATAATATGAACTACAGGCGACTTATTACTAGCTCCAGCTCGCAGCGCGACATGTCGCGAGCGGGTCACATTCAGCAAAAGTTCCCGAATCATTCGGGCCGAATGTGACCCGTATCGTTTTATTCAGAGATGTTGATTCAACATTGTCGAACTCTTGTTCGTTGAAAGAGCCGCATACCGAGGACAGTGCTCGGAGGACCGTAGATCACCCGGCGGAGACGATCTCGATTGGGGTCGTAGACCGTCATCCAGTCCCGGAGTCCGGGACCCGGACAGGTGCAGTATTCAACACAACTGGCTGTCCCATTTGCGCTCTCCCATTATTCAGCTGTCCCACTACTAAGCTAAGCTGTAATTTCTCTACTAATACATCCAAAACAATTCTCTTCCTATCCTCCTATATAATACGGATATCTTCGGTGTTGAGTTGATATTCCACAGGGCTGCAACCTGTGATGATGTCTATAAGCCTGTACTGTGAGAAGCTCACAGTGAGATGATCGCGAGTCGCGAAGCCAAACGCTGACTCGCATATTATCATTAAGGTGGCATGGGTGGAGGATGGGCTGAAAATGAAGTTCACAACCGCAGACCGAGGTGAAAGTATTCACTTTGAAAGCTCGGAGTAAGATTATCACAGACTTGAAGATTTGAAAATTTGATGATCAGATTTGTGCAAGGCCTTCAATCGCCTGCGAAAAGCCACCATGGAGCACCTGGATGCTCAGCACAGGCACGTTGAGCGAATATTAGGGAGAGAGCCTCGCCAGCAATGACTTGAGGCCGTCCCCCTCTCGGTATGTATTGCGTGTGTCCCCGCTATGAGCGATTTCTGTTTAATTAATTAATGTGATTAGATCTCGTTGTAGCACTCTGTCCTTCAATCCAACCTAGCGAGATGGAAGCTTTTGCCAAACTGCAGACAGAACTTCTGCTATGTGACACATTCAGACTCGTCCCTCCTGACACCACCGGTGTGTATACCTTCTACTGCAACTCTCATGAGAAGAAACTGAATTATGGCAGACGCATTGATCTCTAGGAAGAGCTTGGGGTGGATCAGTAGACCTTGTAGAAGCAGGCTGGAGATCCAGCATGGGTTGCTGTGGATGCAACCTTGGTGAAACACGATGACCTGGGTTGAAGTTCATAGACCAAATAGATAGATAGTTCGTTGAAGAGTAGTTTCTCGGATGATAATAGCAGTGCTTGGGAACACTGCGATGAACGTCTCTGACTCAACACCCAATAGCTAGTAGAGATATAGCAATAATAGGGTAGTTGCAGGATATACAGTACATCATATACTGAATATAGTCTTCAACCAGGCGGCAGTAGGTGAAGACAGACGCAAGGACGACAGTATAGAGCCAGAGAGAGAGAGTGACGAGCCCAATAGCAAGGGCAAGGAAGAACAGAATAAACTGAACTGAGTGGGACAACAGCAATCACTCGTGCCACAATGGAGATGCTTAGACCAATCATAGAGCAATAGAAATGGCGAGACCACATGAATCATGAAACCGCTGATTCATGCAGATGCAGGAAGGTCGAGCGCTACTATTTGGAGGACGTGCCCTCCACAAGTCAAAGCTCAAGATCTTATCACCATGTCATGCGCTTACAAGGAAGGATTGCGTCTAGCAGTCGGGAGTCTCAGCCAGAGCTGCTGCCGGAACTCCTACAAGCTGTAGGCTACAACTGATGAGCGGAAGGACTGTAAATGGTAATGATGACAATAATCACCGCTCCGTTCAACGGAGCGGTGATTACCCAGATTGAGTATCCAACGGAGTCCGTTGGATACATCAGTTCTCGCATTACCCTTACCGTTTCGTGTATCTTTGTAACGGTCTCGTAGCAAAAATCAGTACTGCTGCTATATTCATCAGGCGTATATCGTAATCTCACTACTGATGCAGGTTTGTACTCTGTACTACGATGAACGTGAACTCCAAACAGGACAACAGTACTGTAGCG